TCACGCTAGAGGGGAGTTTAAGTGGTGTCACACTTACTTCGGCAGCATCAATTGCTTCAGACACTCCTTGGACCAGGGCTTCCTCGTCAACGAATGATCTGTCCGCTGGTTTCAGGGATGATGACGATGAGCTTGATGACAACGTTTCCTGTCCTTGCTTATGTTCTTCAATCTGACCCAAGAACATTGTGTAGCAGTTATTGCACAGAACATCTCCAGGGCTTACGCGCTGGGCGTCCTCAGCCGGTAGAAATTACTTAAGAAAACTTAGGTTTAGCTCCGAGACTTGACGAAAATGGCGTCCGTAAAACACTCTTTTCTCGTGTCCCCTTGAATAGTCGGCGCACACTTTCCGGTCTGAACTGAATAATGTATTAGCCATGGCAGTAACGAACACTTCTGGCTTTCTGAAAGCAGGAGCAGTTTTAAGTTCATCCAGCTCAGACAGCACGGAGGTAGAATGTGTACCAGCTTTCCGCCGTGGCTTAGGAATTCAAGTAAAGAGCCAGAAAGGGACCGAGAAGGCTATTATCAGTTAGACGACGTGCGAAGATTCGGCTTCCTTTGGGTCCCCAATCTTCCCGTCGATCCATACATCCATACATTCGCTCTCCGCCTCGCGCGTAATCTGAGTGCCACGCAGCAGCGGCGTCTCTTTTAGTGCCCGCGGATTAGTGACACGGTTGTGTTAGAAGGACGAGGAGGGGAGCTTGGAGAGACAGAGGGGGGCTTGCGACGTAAACTCTAAAGGCGCGTTCACACTCTTGCAGCCGAGTACGACCGAGAAAGACTTCTTGGGACCGGATGCGCTGAGCGGAGCTGGTCCTAAGAGATCGCAAGAGGCTTAAAAACCGGTTTGGTCTCTCTCGGTCGCACTCGGTTGCAAGAGTGTATACGGGCCTTAAAGGCCCGTTCACACTCTTGCGACCTCTTAAACCTGGGTTCCTTAAAACTTCTTAAACCAGAGAACACACTGGCACCATCTATTGGGAAGCAGTGTAAATTCGGCGGTCCGGCATATTTTTTTTTATTTCTCGCGCATTATCCTTTCTTTCTTGGCTCGAAAAACTTTTGTCGATATTATAAAGGAGCCTTCCTATGGGTATTACGAACATTTGACCTCGGAAATCCCGCAAAACCTTCGCTCTTGTGAAATGCAGTTCCAGGGTCACCGCATAGATGGCGCCACAATGCCAGTGTGTTCCCTCATTCTAAAAACATTTAAGAAGTTTTAAGAGATCTCGTCTCTCTCAGTCGTACTCGGTCGCAAGAGTGTGAACGGGCCTTAACCTCGAAACGCCTGTTCTCCCGACAATCAGGGTTTCCGTGTCGGTCGCATCCAAAGCCATAATCCTTAGAGGCTCCAGGACCCCGACGAAAATAGAAGCGGTAGCCCCGTGATGTTCAAGATAAAGTATTCTATACACGCCACCTGACTGGGGTGGCATCTGGAAAATTTCGGAGCCGAAAGCAAAAGGCCTCAGAGGACTTCTCTAACGATCTGCATTCCCCCGTATTGGGAGAAAAAGATGCGCTCGCACTTGTGAATACGGACTTCTAAGTAACTTTTTTTTAAGAGCACTACTCAAAATTTTTTTTTAATGTTTATGGTTGTATATTAGGTAACTGCTAACGATAAATAGAAAACCCTAATAGGCCAAAATTCTGCTCAGCAGAGCGCCTGTGCGAAGTCCCGTTCAAAAAGCTCATAGCACGAGATTCGAGTCTTAATAGTGGCCATACAAACAATATATTACAATTTCTGTTGGTAGTTCCTGATAGACTACTATATTAACTAACTGTGAATAAAAAATGAAAAAAATAAAAAGTGGGGTTTTTTAGAAAATCGACTCCAAACTTGCTAGTTTTTCGAAATATTCGTTTTTCAGGCACATGTAACTCATTATATACTTGTGGCAAAATATTGAAATTATACTCAAAAGAAAGAGCATAATTGGTGCTTTACGGTGATATAAAAACAATAAAAATATGTTGATTAGGTCGCACAGCACAGCTTGCTGAACTTCGTCAAATATTGTCACAGAGAGGCGGTTTGGCAAATAAAAAAAAAATCATTAAGAATGTTATGACCTAGACGCTCAATTAGCATGAAAACGCCTATGTCTAGAGTGTTCCCAAAAAGTTATATTGATGTAGCGTAAAAAGTAGGGAAAAGGAATGGAGTGAAATATAGCACCTCCGATAGGCTGGAAAAACATCAATTTCCAACTTGACCGCTTCAACGGTCCATAACTTGAGAACAAAAAATCCGACGAAATACCCGTTTGCGTCTTCTTTTATTATAGTAATTGCCCCAAAAGATATATTTTTTTCGTCAAAATTAAAAATTCGACCCTAAATCCGTGCCTGAGTTGAGATGAAATCACCCATATATATATTTAAGAGCGGTCCCCGCTCGAAACGTCGTAATAAACTTTGAATTAGTAACTCCGACAGTACGCATCTTTGACTTATTAACCTTTCCCGGTCCATTGTTTTTATATTTACCTCACTTTACCTATATATATATATATATATATATATATATATATATATAAACATTCCAGTTGTTTAAATGAGACCATGATGTTACTAGAAACAGCATCTAGAAAGTATGACCAATCAAATGCCTGCCTTATATTGACTGATCCCTCCCTCTGTAAATGAGTATGCAGATAGCATGATCATAATATTCTACCCCAGACAATTGACTGGTCCAACAGTGCATAGCTTCCACCACGCTGCCAGCTTAGCGGTGAATGGAGTATAGTTCGGTTCTCAGACACAAAGTGCTGCCGTTACTTCTCAAAAAATGCAAATGTTGACATAACAAAACCCTGTAGCAGCACAATAACTGTTTTTCTTGCTCTTAGGGTGCAGTAAATGAGGTATCAACGTGATCCCGAGCCATTGCTCAACACACAAGATTAAAAAAAAACATGGCATATTCATGAATAGAAAGTTGGGCTCTGATTGGCTCACTATGGGGAGAAAACATGAGGTGTTGACCAATATGATTACTGCATTTTCCCTCATCTACATAAGGATAGGAAGTCTGTCACCTGGATCCTAAGTTCCCGGGTTCAATCCCCTCCCTTGCTCTTTCAATCTGGATCAGCATCGTACTGGCGTGCGGTCGTGTATCACTACTGCATGGTGCACATTAAAGACCCCCAGGCTAGCGGCTACTGCACTGGCTAGATTCCTCATCTATAGGGGGTATTCACTGGACGCCATATTTGAGATAACTTCTCACAGCGCATGCTCGGGAGGAGTTTCCCGTCAGCTCTTGGGCAATCACAAGAGAAGAAGGGAAAGAGAAACTCACTTCTCACCGGGACTTTCCTTTGTATGTCCCAGGCTTCCCCAGACATCGCTATTCTCCCTCTAGAAGATTATAGAAGATTAACTTTCACTTGAAATTCTTACAAAAGCAGCTTTCCCCTCTCTCTCTTCCCCCGCAGTTCGAAAGCAGCAGTGAGCTCAGCTATGACCGCCAGTGAATACAACCTATAGGGTGCCTCAAGTGAACCTTCCGCTTAGAACTAAACAGAAAAAGCGGTGCGTGCATATAGAAAGCTTAAAGGCATAGGTACCTTTCTGTAAGAAATCAGAGCAAAACACTTGCCAAAGTCCACATTAGGTGCGTTCGCAGACCAGACCAAGTTACTGGCGCTACTAAATTGTGGCGCCATCTCCCGATAGGTGCAGAGAACAAACAAGAGAGCATGTCATCTGCTTGCTGCACGTATCAGCAGATGGCACCACAAGTTAATAGCATAGGTTAGAGAGCCTAGATTGTATAGAGGGTTAGACTCAAACCGTGGGGAGCATTTGCAATCTAATGTCAGACGCGTTTTGCGGAGATTGGTCTGCTAATGCACTGCATTGTCACACGGCAAGGAGGAAAGCGGGCAGAATGGCCACGACGCTTGCAGACAACCAACGTGCCTGTCACCTCCCCTCAGCTTGTATAGCAAATGCGGCCCATAAACCACATGACCCCAATCAAGCGGTTGGAAACTTCGTAATAAATGCTCTCTAGCGTCGGTAATTCGGTGATCTGCAAACGAGCCTAACGTGAACTTCGGCAAGTTTTTTGTGCTCATTTTTTACAGAAAGAGACCTACGCCTTGACATTTCACACGGTAACTCACCTGCTCAATGCACATTGGGTGAAAGATTAAGCTTTCTATCTGTAAACGCTGATTTCTCCAGCTCATTTTTCAGCGAAAGGTCTGCTTGAGACACCCTATACAGCTGAGAGACAAGTCACCCATTGAGGCTGGGTGAAAGCTCGCCCGCGTACTTTCCCTCCTTGTTAATTTCCGGTTGTCTAAACATACATACAACATACTTACTTTATTTCTGCCTTCACAACCTTGTACTAATGTCAAATCAAGCTTCCTAGCTCAACATACCGCATGCAATACGAGGACTCAGGATCGCGGGTGACTGTTGGCAGGCATCTCTTCTGGCCTAAAAGTTTGAAGACTACAAAGCGCCGAGGATGTTTCAGAGCGGATCTCCTGAGCTCGTCATACGCTAAAACATCGATTCGGTCAAATGACCGCTGTTCACTAAATCGTCATTCGCTCAGGTGATGGTCCCCATTACCAGGGTTCTCGTTCACTCTAAATGTCCGACCAGCGAGGCAAGCTTCGTTTTACACGTAACGAGACAGAAAATCTCGTGTGCTTGCGAGACGTAAATTTAAGCTGACGATCGACAGAGAGGCTGGAAAGGGGGGATTCCACAATGCTGTCTCCTCGAACAGCAAAAGTTAAAAGAGGTATGAAACGGCATGCTAGTAACGATACTTGAGATGCCTCAAGCAAAGGCGAGCACAGTCATTGCTCGAGAGAACAAGGGATTGAGGAGGCAACACTCAACGGTCGTATTTAGATGCTTTGTCCCAGATACAACAAAATGAGAGAAAGGAGAGCTTCCTTTCGAACGTCTGCGACCGGCAAGGCAGGCAACGAGGACAGCATACTTACGGATCGGGTTGACTGCGTTAGTTTTGCATCGCTCTTTTCTCTGTCTACAAAAAAACTGCGAGGCTTCAGTTTTGCGGTACTTACTTTACGGTACGGTGCTCAACAAAACTCAGAAAGAGAGAAAAAAAAAACCCTTTCAGGACACTGTCTATCCAACGCTCATATTGGTCGTGGAACTACGCAGGATGAGACCAAAAGTGGACGAGTGAGCACGTCGCCCGAAGCTCGAAGAAACCCGTCGTCACCAGCACGAAAACAACGAAAAGCAACAAAAAATCACACAATACCAGTTTTGGATATGGATATGGCTTGATATAATACTTTAGAATCTTGCTTGGCTTACGGATTGGTTGCTCTATGTTTGTCTACGGCTACAGCTACGACAACCACTTTTCCGTTTCCGTTATAGTGGCGGCGCAGCTTTGGTTTTGATTTGATTTTCCCCTCGGAGCTCTGTCAGAAAACAAACTTGCGTATAATCGGGCATATTTACCACGGAACTCGATAATATGTTTGAAAACTGTATAGGCTTTCATTGATTTCTTTCTGTGCTTTCTAGATTATGATGTTAGAGCGCATAAATCGCCAGTCCAGTGAAAGGTATGGTTCGAGTTTCTCCTTTCATTGTATTGTAATTGTTTTTACACCCGCTGCAACCTAGTATAAATACCTCGTTTACGCAAAACGAAGCTTATAGGCGCCGGAAATAACACAGCGACAAGCTTTATTCCCGTCTCCAATTTACGATTCAATCCGTGTTTCAGGGAAACCACCGCAGTTCCTTTCTCGGTTCTGCGGAGAGACAACCGTTGTCCCACATCAACAAGAATCGTCGTCATGCCATCGCTAATAAGATAGTTGGCGTTTACGCCTGCTGCACCAATGCGACTACTTGGCATCACCGTGTGGGCTTTCGTCAGCATCACCTTTGTTGGAGTGCTCGCCTACTGCCTGCTACTGTGGAGCCAGTACTGGAGGTGGGCTTCACGGCACAGCTCCGGAGCGTTGGAGGTAGCCACCGTTCGCGGTCACTTGCCGGCGCCTGCAGCGGCGCTGGCTGTGCTCAATTCCAACGGATCGCTCGTTGGAGGCGTGCTTCAAATCCACAGGATGGCTCCTCTCCCAAAAGACAAGCTGCTCGCCAAGGTATAACGCGCCCTCTTTTAGCGAGTTGTGTTGTTTGTTTGTTTAAATAGCGAGCCCCAATGGGCGTCGTGTGTCCTCGCTGCACATGAGACATTTAAGGCCGGTTCAGTCACTTGCGTTTTAGTGCGTTTGACTGCGTTGCGGCGAGAACCGAAAGCGAGTCACCGGCACATCTGTGTTTCGTACGAAGCGTGGAATCCAATTCAAGGAATCATCTTGGCACGCGACATAAGCAGCAGGGATCTCCTGGTTTCCCGCTGCCGCAACGCAGTCAAACGCAGTCAAACGCAACTGTCTGAACCAGACTTTAGACAGTGCAGCACCACTGCTAGCCAGGGATATAGGACAATGTTGTAAGTGTGTGCTTGTCTGTCGTCCACGTGCTTCCCTCCTCTTTCCCTGTCTTTTTGTGCGCAATTTTAACCATGTTTACTCAACCGCATGGGCGTACCAACCCGTGTGTGTGTGTGTGTGTGGGGGGGGGGGGGGGGGGGGGGGGGCATGTTTTAGAAAGCGAGACCTCATTTTTCTTCGGATGACAGCAGTCGAGACGCTCTTCCCTACCGGGAGTCTAAAACACTAGATAGTTTTAGTGGATTGTTAGGACAACTCCGGTAACGATACCCGATACTCTGTCGACGCTTTTGCGCATGCACCGTGTCGTTATCGGGTATCTTAATTAGGGAACCGTTTTCGCACATACGATACGACACAATGGTCTCTCCGGTACGAACTGCGCATGTGCGAGACTTCTGCTGTAGCGCATGCGCAGTTCGTACCGGAGGGTGTGCGGATGTGCGAAAACGGTTTTTTAAACTCTCTCCTGACTCCACGATGGACTCCCGTTCCAGGTGGAAGCTTACCGGGTGCAGCTGGTGCGTCAGCTGCGTCGCGCCCAGTGGGATAGCAACAGGCCGGTCGGGGCCGGAGGTAGGGACCCCCAGGAGTACCGCTACAACGTCCGCTCCAGGGGCCCCAAGATGCGCAAGTTTGCGGCCCCGTCGGAGCTGCTCGACAGAGCTCGTCGGCTACGGCTACGGATGATCACCAGGTTGGCTTGCTCCTTTTCAAACGTTAGACAAAAAAAAAAAAAAAAAAAAAGAGAGGGGGAATTTTTTTTTTTTTTTTTTTTGTGAATGGCGGCGGAAGCCGAGGTACTACGTCACGCAGCTGCGGTGGCGCTGTCAACGGCACTGCGCATGCGCAGACGCTTCGCGTCACACGAATTCGGTTTGTGCGCACGCGCAGTGCCTACACCTAGTGTGGGCAAACACGGGGTTGTTTGTAAACAGCGTGTCGGTCTATACACGCAATCCTACTGCACACTGACCGTGACGTCATGTACGTGCCATGACATCGCGACCTGTGGTGTCATGTGGCGTTACAGTGTCACAGGACGTCAAGGTTTCGCGTGTCGCCTGGACGTCACGTTACGCCACAGCACGGTGTCAAAGTTAGCGGACAAATTCTACCGCTAAATTTAGCGGATAAATTTCACAGCCAGAACCCACACGAACCGCACGTGGGCCGAGATCCCCTGACAGATCTCGCCAATATCGGCTCTTGCCGAAAAAAAAAAAAAAAAAAGAAGGAAAAGAAAGCAACACCAACATTACTCGCACGTCTTCTTCGCCGCATAGCGCACTGAGATTGGTGTTGCCATGCTCAGAAACAATGCGCATTAAAAAAAAAAAAGTTTTTGTTGTGCTATATTTATGCGTTGCGCCAAGTAGTTCTTGCAAGATTTGCTTGTCAAAGAATAATAACAACAATAAAACTAGACTATTTGGCTTTTGAAAAGTGTATACGGCTTGATAAAATAACAAAGCTAATCCAAGATGCATCTAAAGTTCCTCGATGCACCTACAGATATATTGATTCAGCCGGACTTGTTTTACTACGGTTCTTAAGGCCGTAATGGTGGATTTTCTACGTCACTTATTGGAAGCCAGCGTGGTGCACTATAATTGGCCACGAGTCAGCGTTCGGCTGCGACTCGTGTCAGTGAAAACGCACGAGTCGCGCAGCCAAACTCGGGTTAGACCGTGTGTCTAATCTCACCTCGTTTTGGAGTAGCCGGCGCCATTTCAAGGCTGCCAAATTCTCCATAGCACCATTTATTTTCTTCTTCTTCTTCTTCAGCACTGTATGCTTCGTTTCACCTCTTCCGCCTGCATAAATTTTGCTTATATATATTTATGAACTTATATTGCCAAAGTGTTTCCGATGTTCTGTTTCTTTTTTCTTTTTTTTTGCACTTTCCCTCGTGTAACAGAGGCGGAGCGGAAGTTCGTCTGCTTCTTTTGTAGGGGTTGTGGGGACGTCAAACGCCGAGCTTCCTAGGAATGTCCTTGAGGGCAATGAACTTGAACCTTAAGTTCGGACGCAGCCGACGGTAGGAGCTGATATAGTACCAAATAGACAGCATAAAAAAAACAAAAAAAAAACACCATCATTGGTGTTCGTCATGTTTTTGTACGTCTTCTGTCATCCCTGAACCAATCATATATACACAGAAAAGGCCCAATGACTTGCGCTTTTAATGCTGCTTGATTGGTCCCATTACTTGCTCTCTCTGTTCCGTGAGGTATTGTCAAGGAAACATGTTCGCCTCGTAACCGGCAAGGAGGTAAAGAGTAGAGATCAACGTGTCCAGCTTGTACGCTGTAAAGATATGTCGGTCACGGCGGATTTACTAGAAAATTAACGGATTTGTGGAATTCCTGATCTTGTAGTCAGTCTAACGGAATGACGTAAGCTTACTGTGACAACAAACGCACGGTCAAAAGTGATCCACCGTGTCAAAACTTTTGGCTCAAGGTTGGACGTCTCGGCACATCACTTCTAGAGAAAATACGATAAATGAGTGATCAAGTTAACGGTGAAAAGAAAGGGATTGCAGCTGGCAAAAGATAAAATGCTTCACAGTAACGCACAAAAAAAAATGTTTTGTGTGTGTGTATGTCTGTGTGTGTGTGTGTGATCTACGTCCAATTGCGTACAAAACCTTCCTGGTCGTCTGTCTCTATTGGCATTGACGCGGGCTAGAGAAAATCAACGCAGAAAGAAACAGAAGTCCACAAGCGAAGGGCATATAGACGCTTTACACACTCGCCAGAATACAGCCGCCATTGCTGACCTTCTCTTGTTTTACCGAGATACCGAGGCACTGAAATTGGTGCGGACGAGTCTCCACAAAAGCCAATGCTGGGGAGGAGGACAGAATAAAATCTAAGGTGGCAATAAGCTAGCCTGCTATGGTAATAATGAAGTGAAGTAAACGTAATTAGGGGAAACAAAAACTGAAGGTCAGTTATGGCGGTGCCCATGCACAGCTGCTGCAAAGCGTCTATATATATGGGTCCGTCCGAAAGGAAACAGGAAACAATGGCATTACACTTTGTTTCTTTTCCTGTGCGCGCACTTTTTTGTCCCTTTCAGATTCGCTTCCCGTGTCTAACAAAATAAAACGTCAGCGTGCCTATCCAATTGAGACGGTTGCCCTCTCGTAATTCCTCCGGTAATACTCATCCTGAGTCAACGCCTGGGCTAGGAATCTCCGACCACCCGCCAACAATGGCGGGGTGTTCTAGACCGCGCGAAAAAACTCCAGGACAGGAGCAAAATATGCAATTGCAGGAATGCCCTGCCCATTTACTTACTTTCGTAACAGGGATTTATTGAGGATTCTCGCTCTGGGGGATATAAATATTTTTTTTTTTCTTAGACACCCCACTTCTTGAACTACTAAAAGCCCAGTTATTGACTTTTTTTTTTTTTTTTTTTCTGCCTACTGTCCAGTTCCAAACTCTCAAGTTGGGTGAAACTTCTGTTTCGCATGGCCACACCAGACAGACATAGCGAAAGGTTATGTGCGTGCAGAGTTCTTCCTGTGGCCACGTCTACGATACATCTATACTTCGTTCCACCTTCAGTCCGAGCGCAGTGGACGCTACGAGCTATCCCAGCCGATCCAGCGCCGGGAGAAAATCGCGTGACCTGGCGGTTGGGCATAAGGACACAGGGAGCTCAAGGTCACATGGAACTCTCTCTCAACGCTGGATTGGCTGGGATGGCTCCTAGCGTCCGCTGCGCTCGGAGTGAAGGTGAAACGGAGTATAGGAAGGATTTGCGCGACTGTGTGCTCGCTGAGCCGGCTCTTTCCCACTCCCAGGGACACGGAGCCTTTTAAGCGCATGGGCTACAGTCGCTACTTTCCGACTACGAACCTGTACGAGAGCTGCTACAACAGCTGTGCCCTTGTATCCAGCGCGGGCTCCCTCCTGGGCTCGCGGCTCGGCAATGAAATCGGCAAGTCATCGCCTCACCGGATTCCATTCTGTCGCGACTTTGTTGGGGTCTTAGGGTGCACAGTGTTCTGTTGCCCCGATGGTCTCCTCATTGCCAACCTACACCGTAAGTTTTGGGCGACAAATGAAAGTTTTTAGAGAAACGCTTTTGGTAGTCCCGTACCGCTGTGGAGTGGACGCACGCATTCTTCAAAGCATGCTGCGAACTGGAAGCGCAAGTTCCCGGTACCAGTATCGTTCTATGCTTTGTCTGGCCTTACAACCTACCCGTGGACACGAGTGAAGGTTGTTGGGGCTAGGGGCCATAGAGTTATTACAATAAACGCTAGAGGCTCAGCTGGCGCTAGTATGCTGTTGCATTTTGAAGCAGACAACAAGCAGTCAGAAATTGACTTCCGGTAATGCATTTTTATGGGAAAAAGCGAGTGCATTTTCTCTCTGCGCTCGATTATAAGAGCAAATATCACGAATAATTTGTGCGTACTAGGCACATTGTAACAGTTCTCAATAACTCAGACGAAATAATTGGTCAGTTACAGTATTTTTATTTGAAATTCGTGGTATGAAAAACGGTGTTAAAACCGCTTCGTAAGTGTATTTATGTGCACTGTCGGACACTGTTAGCGCGAACACGGCGTCGACGTTTTCCAACATGGGGGTATGCGTGCCAAACGAACGAAGGACATGTGGAAAACCAAGAGAGACGGCAAGAACTACGCAGTAACACTGGATAAGTAACTCCTTGTGCACGCAGACGATCAAAATAAATTGAAAGCCACGTAATATAGTCAGATTTGCAATAAATAAGTACTGCTTTATTCTTCCTGCTCATCGAATATGTGCGAAGATGCTTGTTCTGGGTTCAAATCATCACCCGCACGCTCCAAATCTTTGCAAATAGGGTGAGCTAGAGAGCATGTGACCGATAAAAACTGCCCGACATAGAAAATAATAAAAAAGACACCTTTCGTAGCTCACGTGCTTTATTTTTTGCGTTCGAATGTTTCTTTAACCGATCGTAAAGGCGCACGACGGAGTCATTTTCATCCAATGAGAGGACTGGCATATTAGCAATATATAAGCACCACCGAAATGCTAGCAAACCTTAAACACACTCTACATTTTTTTTTTTTTTTATCGTTAGTTTGCTTAGAATCGTCGCTCGTTTTCACATACCTTCCTTGAAACAGAGGTTTGGACCTGAAATAGAGCGAAGTTTAACATCGTTCAGTGGTAGATAAAAATGCCTTGACTAAAGCAATTACACTTTCACAATACCAATAAAAGTGCATACTATCCGGTACAACCGAGATGACAAACGTTATTCATCTTATTTTCCGGCAAAGAGACATAATTCATGCGCGTTTTCGCATAGGAATACACAGGGAGGCTGGAAATGTAGACTGCATGCTGTCTGCTTCAATTTGCAACCGGAAGTCCCGTAAACACTAGCGCCAGCTGAGCCTCTAGCGTTTACTGTAATAACACTATGCTAGGGCCAGCTTTGATTGGTGCTTACCATACAAACTTGTTAATTGGTCGATTAACCTACCGATTAATCGATTAATGCTTTAATCGCGATTAAGTTTTTTAACCGGTTAATCCGCAACATTTTGACGAACCAAAAGAAAGTAAAAAATAAACGCTTTTACCACGCAGACGTGGACGAGAACACTTGTATAAAGTGCAAACTTTAGGTGAAATTTTGGTCTAAAGTAAGCTGCAGGGGCGAGATTTCTAACTCCAAAGAAGTGCGGAAGGTTACACGTATTTCAATCAGGAGACAGCTTACACCAAGCCTGAAGGCAATGAGGTACTATGAAAAATCAAACTTTAGAGCCTGAGCGATACGTGTAGAGGCTTTAGCGTTGATGCACCCTTGCCTTTCAATGCGCTCGAGGCTAGTGTAACAACATGTAGCGCTGTTTCAGTGTTCATCAGCATGCCTTGTGCGTACATTCACCATGTTTTTATACAATGTCACACTCCACCCTCTGCATATTTTGCATTTTATGTTGCACACCAGTACACTCGGTGTCAGCTTGAGAGTTCAGGGGAAGCTCCTCCAACACCTTTCCACTTTAGCACAGCGAACACTGGAGAGGAGGTCGCCTCTCCAGCGTTTGCTCTGCTAAATTGTGAGCGGGCCTTAATGCTTCGAGTGAATTTTGAACCTTGGCATAACCTTTGCTATGTATTAGGCGTTAGACTCCGGTACCAGTCCTACTTTGGGTTTACCAAACTCAATATGCGTACACGCACAAAAAAACGACCTAAAGTCATTTGTTTTGTTTTCCAGTCTCATGGCTTTGCTTAAAATACACACCCTAGTCACCTAAATGAGACACCTAGCCAAAAGGAAGTGGTTTATTTATTTATTTAGGTAATTAACTCCTCAACCTATAATTGAATTTTGGAAACCCGCATCTATCACGTCATCGCGTTTCTTTTTTTTTTTTTTAATCTATAAATACTTAAACACGCGCACGAGCAAACGGCCGACCCGTCAAACAAATCTGACCACATTGAAATATGCGGAATTGGCCTCTGGAAATTTCAGAGTGCTAAGTGCGCACCGGTATGTATGGCTTAATGTTTGACTCGTCGGTTCTTTTATCGAGATTGCAACTCGCCATTAGCTCAGGACGATTTGCGCGTTTTGTTCTGTCTACATTTGCTGCAAACGTGAGTTTATAGTGTAGGCAGCTGCTCCCTTTGAACGGGAAGTAGTGCACCCAAAGTGCGTTCCACGCAAAGCTCGCGCAGGGAGAAACAAGTGATGTCAATATAGGATGTAAAAAAAAATACCGCACTGTATAGAATACCACACACGATTTAGTGCGTTGATGTACAGGTCTGGAAGGCGCCATCTGTTGGTTAAGAATCAAGCTAACGAAAGTTGTGGTTTCACGTGAAAACCACGCTCTCTCCGCCAAAATAATTACAAATCGCGCGTGCACATGTAAAATCGTAGCTGGACAAGCGCGCTCGCCACTTCACCGGAAAAAAAAAAAAAAAAAAAAAACACGGGCGCACAACGCACAAACATCGCGTGCGTATGAATGAGCGAGAGTGTATATACAGACGCGCGTTTGCTCATGGACTTATAGGCATGTGCGTATGCGTGCATGCATCGTCGAATGTGCGTGTACGCGTCGGTGCCTTTGTCTGTCTTCGAGTCTGCGTGCGTATGGAAGAGTGCGGAATGTATTTCTTCCATTAGTTTCGTTTACGAAAAAAAGCAACTACTCCATATCTCGGAGAAAACCGACGGTAAGTTATAATTTAGGCAGCAACGCGAGAAAGATCGCATCACTGCAGAACTACCGTGAGTTTATCGTTATTTGCACTTCCCCAGCTTTGCGACGTAAGCTGCAACGTAAGTTGCGACGTAAGATTGCCCAAACGGGCAATCATGTCGGCAAGACATCCAGATCACTTGACATTGTAAAGTAGACCGGCGGTGAACAGTTAAAAGTCCAGGACCCTGCAGTCCTGGATCAGCCATAACCGTTTACGCGGAAGATGCAGTCCTTGAGATCTTGCGTGCTTCGACCTTGAACGCAACCTTCAAGCTTTCGTCTTATTTTTCTGTCGCGCGTGATCAAATACCGCAAGGGATCAAATACCGCGCAGGGTCAGAGTGCCATCAGAGCCGAGTGCCATCAAGGTCCGTAGCGAGACACGTCGCGGTACTCTGAGCCGGAGGTCAAGGACCGCTGCTTCCAGAGACGGTTTCTATGCGTTTACGGGAATCGCATACAGGTATTTCTAAGGCAAAGTTTGACTACTGATGTGCCCCTGGCAACAGTAATTAAATTAGAGCGACCGAATAATTTCGTGGGGACGAACGTCTCTGAGCGGAACACTTCCAAGCGTCGAAATAAATTAACGTTTACACGATTCTAGTCAGTTAGTTCTGCGAGGAGTAAAGTTAACATTTAAAAGCTTATTACGTAGTTCGGGTCTTACTTTTATTGTCTTTTTGCAAAATGTTTCAGACGCCGAATTTTATGCTTTAACCTTTTTTTGCATAGTGGCCACTACGGTGGACATGGTTAATTAAATTTTTTCAAATAAAGTGCCAGGCCGCATCCACTTCAATGGACATATGCATTTTCGATTGCTACTCTTGGATGACACCACCATTACACTGGTGTTGACATATTCAGCATCCAAGATGGCATCTTCCACAAATTCCAGGTAAGGCACGTGCATCCTCGCAAAAACGTCGTAAACTGTTGCAAAAAATTATTACTCCTCTGTTAGACGTTTTTATGCCTTCGCGGAAATCTTGAGGTTTCACATGTATAAATATGAGTGTCCAATAAGTCTTCATTGTTCAGTAAGTGATCTATTTGTGGCTTATCCACTCTGGTGGACACCATGAACAGGAGCATTGCGGGCCATATACTGTACACAAATTGTTTTTTGGTCAGCAGCGTTGTAAATATACTGGAGTGGTCCAATTTTCTGTTGTAGTGAATAAGGCGCCATGATTCTACATATTGCAAGAAAGAAAAATACTATGTTTTGTTCTTTCTTGTTTTACGGGCAAACGATCTGCTGCCAAATCGCCCTGGAGGGGAGAAGACATTGATGCTTTATTGCATTATATTCCACTATCTGACTCAGAAATCTATGTCCTACTTAAAGATGGTTTGCCGTTAGGAAGTGAGGATGATCTTTTAGACAGCGAGCATGATGACATCGATTATGCCATAGAGGATGATCAAGGCAGGTGTGAAGAGAGCTCGGAAGATGCCAGCCAAAGGGATGACAGTGATGGAGGATCACGACACGGAAACCCAAGCTCCGCCAACAAGAAAAAGACGTCGAGTTTAAAAAGAAAAACCCAAGTTATTGTCATGGGACGAAAGGGATCTTGAGCCCCCAGTGCATGCTGTATACTTTAGTTGACGTTCTGGAATTAATAAACCACATTCCTGAAAGCTAAGAAAAATCCTGGGTTAAACTCAGTACTAGTGGTTGCAAAAACGCAAAATTTTATGATTTGCGTGGACGTTCTTGAAGTGTGCAACAATAGATTAATTAAAACAAAAGCTGGGAATGAACAGCAAGACCAAAGAAATCGATGATGCAATGAATTAAATCGTATCATCACGGAATACCAAAAGCGCTGACGGCAAGGCGAACATGCGCCGGAATGCCTTGCTCGTTCTCCAGTTTAGTCGACACGACATGTCGCCTGTGAAGCCATTTCAATGCGTTAACTATATTGTGCTACATTAGAGAGTTATAAAATAGGGGGTCCCAAAACTTTGGGTCCCTCAAGCTGTTTGGGTGACCCAAAGCGTAGGAGCCGGCCCCTATTCTAAAATTCCCTATTGACAAGACTAGTGAGACTATCACCGTGCCGCACCTACCTTTGACAGGTTGGAGCATGGGGAAGCTACGCTATCCCTGACAACACGCAGAATAGTTGACGCCGAGTATAGTTAGAGTTTCCGGACGAATCTCTAGCAGGGCGTCTCTCGCACTCTCCGGCAGATGCTCACCAGGCCGTGCTGCGCTTCAACGACGCCCCGACGCAGGGCTTCGAGCAGGACGTGGGCAGCCGCACGACGGTGCGCCTGCTCAACTCGCAGCTGCTGTCCCGGCCAGAGTTCGACTTCTTCAACTCGCCGATGTTTCGGAACCTTACCCTCATCGCCTGGGACCCTTCCCGCCAGGGACAGTCGTTGGAACAGGTGAACAATCTACAGGACTATAGGTCACGTCAATGAGCGTCACGCAGGTATAACTTTATGAAGGTCGCAGGAGATCTCGCGTCCTGACCACAGTTCATCCCAGGTGACTTCAACCCTGGACAGTTCATGCCGGTCATTTTATACCAAAAGACATAGTAGTCCAGTATGTTTTATCTAAAGAAAACTTTTATCGTAAGGACGCTTTGGGTCGGAAGGGGTCGAGGAGGCTTCGTGCTTTCCATGCGATCCCCACTTTTTATTCAAATTACTTTTTACTTCGAAAGTGGGTCCAACGGGTCATGCAGATTTCTAGTCTGACAGATTGCTTCATAGAGTCGATAATAAATACGAAGGTGAACGAAAAGAAAGTAGCTCTTTCAAGCTGCTCTATTGATCGCTGTTATAGGTCGTCCCAGGGCAATGTCCTATGGTTTCTTTCAGGACTGGAACTTGCCCTCACATTGAACTTTCCAGAGAAAAATGTAGAAGTGTTGACCATAGAGCTCCTGTGCCTTCCCAAGAAAAGAGACCTACACAAGACTTACCCCGATCTGCTATAGACATATTTGGCTATTGCGTGTCACTTCCAGTCTCTGCAAATATCTGATTACAGCCTTGCAGGGAACGAGTTGAGGTTGTTTGATTGACAAAACCTGAATACTTTAAGATTTGTCGTTTTCAATAAAGCAGTTTCACCCATATCAAAAAGGGGAAACTTTTGGTAAATCTAAAATTATAAAAAAAGAAAAAAGTGGCAGCCAATTCGATCACTGCACCTCGCAATTCCAGCCCGCCGCTCGCCCTTACAAAAATTATCAATGAGTTTCAATTGCATTTCTAATTTTTTTGTAAGGGCGCCCTCTCGCGGACGAATGAAGAACCAGAGAAGCGTGGACGACGGCGGCGGCGCAGAAACGGTGGAAGGGACTGTCCGCCTTAAAGGCCCATTCCCACTCTTGCGACCGAGTGCGACCCAGTACGACCGAGAGAGACCAGACCGGTTTTTAAGCCTCTTGCGATCTCTTAGGACCAGCTCCGCTGTAGCGCATCCGGCCCTAATAACCGGTCTGGTCTCTTTCGGTCGTACTCGGTCGCAAGCGTGTGAACGGCGCTTAATGCGTGAAGCCCTTTTAACGGAAAACGTGAGCGCGTTTAAATAGAAATTTGTGTGCCCCGCCTTGCAACAGCGTTGCACGAAGGACCGGGATGTCTAATTTCATTAGGGGACTTTCCATATATCGCATACGCTGCGGATTTCTGGTCTTCTGCATGGCCGCCCCGCCAGCTCAATCTGTGCTCAACGTGACGGCAAACGCTCCAGCTAATAACGTAGAGCTCTAGACTACGGTCGAAAAGTCTATTATTTGCCATAAGTAGGAAAAAAATCGGCAAGCAACGGTATGTCGAGCAATACACATCGGGGTTGGGTTCGCGTTTTAAGGCCATCACAAGGAACATGACCATTTTTTTTTAAGCACTTTCAAAAGACAGAATACCCGTACTTGCTTTTAGGTAATTACAACGCAAATAAAGAAATGCTCGAAACATTTTAAGCGCGTCCTACCCAACCGTTCAAGACGAGAGCTTAGAACGGGCAGTTTTGGCGAAATGGGCCGCAACGTCGCAAGTTGCACGGTACAAACAATGTACGGTATATTGAAATATTCATTTTGATAGAGCAATAAATAAAACCCCTAAACACGCCGATTATCTTAATAGGCAGTTTTAGCATAGCGTTACCGTTGGCTACCGTAAGCACGGCAACGCTCCGGCGGGCGCTGAAAACTGTGCTTCAAAGGCGCAGCGCAAACTTCCGGTTGTAATGCTACACCGCACGCTAGCCTGCGGTAACAAGCTTCCTATCAATAACCATAGAGCAGTTTGATCACGCGTTGCAATACACTAAAACCGATACGGTGTGCAGCTAGTTGTGAGCCTGTGAAACGAAGACATCAATAATGTGAACGCTGCTCTTCCGAAGCTTGACAGTCACCGGGCGCGGCTCACTTTTTAGAGCACGAATGGCCAGGCAAATCTCAAACGCGATATCTTCCTCACCCTCAAAAATATTCTGCTACGAACAGTGACGTGGCCAGTGCCTAAAACGCGCTTGCCCACCACAAAGCTTCGCGAGTCGAGGTTTCTGCAACTTTCAAATATCAGCATGCTCGTTTTCCTGACGCCCCAGGGCCTTGAGGGTATGTAAATAAATAAATAAATAAACATCTCCGTTACGTGTAATATGATCCTGTCCAAACCGCTTCGCATTTGTAGACAAATAAATAATTCGTAGCGCGCTGACCAGCGTCAGCGAGCAGGCGCACGGGAAAGCCTGGAGAATCTATCCCCGTCTCTTCCGCCATCTTGGAACTATACCGCCCCGCCACCTATAGGGCGTTGGAGTGAGTTTGCTTCGAAAAAACAGTCCGAGTTGTTACCGTGTATCACGGAGGTTAGAACAACGATTCTTTTTTTATACGTGACAAGCTGCTTCTTACGCAAGCCTAAAAGCCTAACGGTGTTGTTGAATGAGAACAAGCGAGTACAATTGACGTTCGATCTCGGCAAGTTGGCACACCTGCACGCTCGCACCAGACGCGGGGAAGCCAAAAGACTAACTCTATGCGAGCCTGTTCAAATATTGTGCTGAAGTTCGAGGATATCTGTGTTACCAGTGCCATATGTATACGTTCAATGTAAAAAAAAAAAAAAAAAAAAAAAAGAGAATAAACTAAGCGAATAAAATGTACAAGATTCAGCGAATAGATTATTTTGCAATCCCGCCTTATACCCTGGTTACATGGCCACCTTTAAATGCAGTTAAGTGTGAGTCAGACTTAACTGCGGTTTAAGATGTCCGTCGCATGTCTGGTGTAACTATAGAGTATTATTACTCGAAAAGTCAAACTGTTCCATTATGTCACTCGTCGGAGGTTCTTCTATTTCGGCGACGGTAAGAGGCGGTCTTTGTACACGTCTGTAAGGTGATGCGTGTTCACTGGCAGCTGATTAAGAAATGCATCACGTGACTAACTAGGTTCGCGCGTCTTGCCTTGTGATTTCTTTTTTTTTTTCGGCGTTCTTCTCGGGAAATGGTCCAATCTCGTTGGCTACGGAATGATATTACGATGATCAAAATTGGCAACGTCCTGCCAAATTTCTTAAAAAGATGGTGAACCGAAATCTGGATTCCACAAAACACGGCGGCAAAAGCGTGCAACGGGATGCTACAAACACCAAAACACCACTCATACAGCGATATCTCAAATAAATGACCGTGTTTTTTTTTTTTTTTCTTTTTTAAGGAGGCGCATTTGACGGATGTGTTTACGTCTTGTTTCTCCGAGAAGGAAAGGGAACGGTCTCGCGTTTTCTCCGTCTCGCCGCCTTGAGGGGGCGAAGCGACGAGAGGAGGAAACGAGATATCTTGACGTCACGCGCCTCGTCGGTCTCGTTCAATCTCGACCTTTTTTTTTCTCCCCCAAAAAATACGGCCGTCGATTTGAGATATCGCCTTACGAGTAGTGTTGTAGGGATTGCAGAGTCCCGCCTACAGCTCCTGCATTGTTTTCTGAAATCCAAATTTCGGTTCACTATCCCTGTAAGGTATCAACAAGCATTGCGTAAATCAAATTTTCTTATTTTTTACGTCACCGGTTGCACTATCTCTCCACGGGGCGCGGTGCCGCCGGGGCTGAGATGCGCTCCGATAGCAAACCGAAACTTAAAAACCCGTCGATTTGTGCGGTTTTTGAGAAATCCATACAATGCTTCGCGTGCCTTCTATCGTTCTGCAATTTGTTGATTTAGTGTTTTTTCGGTGATGCTGAGCAATTTTCTAATTTAAACCATGCCCTTAAAGGGATACTTCAACGAAATTTGAAATATATCCGTCGTGTTCAAACAAAGGTTGAATATGAGCCACAATATCCGTAAATGACAATCACACGTTTGTATTTGGAGCCTGCTGTATTTTTTGTTATAAACGGCCCACTCTAGCAAGCGCTCGGAGAAGGCCCAGCTTAGAGCACGTGACATCCGACGCAATCGTGACGTAGGTCGTCTCGGGACGAGCGATGCTACGGCGAGGCTGACGTCGAGGGGATGGCCTAGTCGTTCCAGCCAGCGAAGCGGTTGCTTTTGTACGAATTTTGAGTGACAGGTTAATCTTTTATAATCTTGTAGGGGGACAATAGCTACTTCTGAAACACACAAAAGGGATTCTCGGAAGATGGGAGTTCCTCCTTCCCCTCTTCTCTCGTCGTGGCCGGAGGCGAGACACTCACCGTCACTAGCTGTAAAGGTTCCCAGACGGGCATTACAAACGAGGCGTTAGCAACATCCACCAGGTGCTCTTTGCTAATCGTTTAATTCGTTTTAAAATTCCCTTTCGTGGCTTTTTTAAATGGTATGTTCGATGTGATGCTGCTCTTTTGAACACATATAGACCAAAAAATGAGCGCCGAAATTTTCTAGCTTGGACGTGTTGCATGTTGCACCCTAACCTCGAAAACACCAGTCTTCCGTTGGAAAGCTCAAGAAAACTAATTCTAAAGCTAAATAAACGATATTTCAATGTGCACCTGGTGGATGCATGCGGAGCCTATTTGGGAGGTAATCTAGCAACGTTGTGGAATCTGCTACGTAGTCGTGACGTAGCAGATTCCTTCGGAGCAGCGCCGCTCTTTGGCATTTCAACATATGTAGGCTCCCTACTCTCCCCCTAGAAGATTAGCCCGTCCCTCAAAACTCGAACAAAAGTTGCTTTCCCCACCCCGTTCAGCCCTAAGCTGACAGTGTTGTGGAAGCTACGTGCTCCTTGGGCCAGCCACATGCTCGTCACCCCACGGGTACTTCGAACGGCTCGGTTGTAACGCGCTGACGCTATTGACTCCACCACAACGCTGACAACGCCACCAAGGGCAAAGCTCATAACCACGCCCGCCTTGCTACTGTGATACTCTGTATTGCTACTCCACGAACGCGGGGAATCTTTTCTT